TAATAATGATAATAGTTATGACAATGGGGTGATAATAAGGATATAACACAACAACAACAACAATGACAAAAATAACAATAATAGTAAGAGTAATGATAATAAAGATCATGATAACAATAATGGCAATGACAATAGTAATGATGATAATAACATCAAAATAACAGTGACGATAATAACAATAAAAATTATAACAATAATGAGAATGAAAATGTAATAATGATAATTATGGTAGGGACAATGAGGTATGGATAATAATGGACATGATAATGATATGATAATAATAATGATAATCATAATAATGATTATCATTATCATTTACTATTATCACATCATTATCATTACTGTTAGTAGCAGCTGTAGTATTGTTATTATCCTTACTATCATTATTCTTCATCATCATTATCATGCTATTACTATCATTATCATTCTTATTTCCATAATTATTACCAGTATTATTAATAATATCAATATCAATAATATTCACACTTCTTAATTTTCAACATGAACTCATTTATTCTCATTTTCTTTATGATAATCATTATTACTATTGTTTTCATTATTATTGTAATTATAATGATAATGACAATGAAAATAGTTATAATAATAGTAATGATAATTATCAATATCATCATTATTATTATTAGCATTATCAATATTATAAATATCATTACCATCATCGTTATTATCATTATTGTTATCGTCGCCATTATTATCACTATAATTATTATCATGATTATTATTACTGATATAATGACTATCAAAACAACATGAAGAAATATGATCATCTACAATTGGATATTAAAGAAAACACATAAGCATTCACAATAACAATGGAATTCTTTAAAAAAAATATATATCGATGACAGCTATTAAACAGTAACAAGTAAGGTACTGACGATATTTATGATAAGAATAATAATATGACTACATTTGTTGCAGATGATTATTGTAAGAACACAATAAAGGATACAGCTATAGTAACGGTATAAGATAATGGAATGATAGTAAAGGGATTACTTTTGTTAAAATTGATGATCATTATTACTAATGTTGTTTTTATCGCTATTATCATTATCATAATTCATCATTTAGCAGAACAATGTACTAAAGGTATTATTATTATGACTATCAATGTTACCATCACTTGTGTTATTATCATAACCATTACTGCCATGATGATGATCATCATTATTATCATTATGGGTATCGCCAACATTATTGCTGATTTTAATTAGGTAATCAAATTTCGCCCCCCCCCAAAAAAAAAAAAAAAAACACACCGGCAGTCAGAAACGCTCATGAAATTTCGAATGAAATTTCCCCCTCGCTGCTCATTTACCACATCGTTCACTATAATGGAACAAAATTCACCCCATAAAAGTTGTGAATTGAATTGGAGCGTAATGTCGACGCGATCGACGGCGAGCGAATGTTTCTGAAAAGCATCGTGTTAGACGCTGGGCCGAAAATGTTCATTCACAACAAACATTCTCTTTTCGTGTACAGGTATGATTTCATATTATTAGCTGTGTATGTTGCTACATATAAATTAATGTAAATGAGTTTATAACAAAGGTAATGGCATTACCTTTTAAGAGAAAATGTTGGAAACTTAAGCCGGCGTTTTCACTGAAATGTTGATATAATTTCTTTTCCCCTTATGAATTTATAATACGCATTGGTATTATATTTGTTTGTAAGAAAACAAGTAACTCAAATAACTGGCCACATAAAGAAAAAATATCACACAACTTGAAAAGCTATTTTAAGGATTGAATCGTGCGTCTGGCAAGGGAGCTGAACTCGCTCTTCCGAAACGCTTTCAAAAATACTTGTTTATTTTCCTTATCTCTACTTCCCTTATCACCAGATAACCAAAATCACATCATAACTTCTGCTCCGAGAAACTAAATGAACCCAACATAAGAAACAACTAAATATACGTCCGTTCGTAAGTGCGTTCATCATGACATTTATAAGGAGCGAGGGAAGCCACCGCCTCCATATATGCAGCACCAGTCAGTCAGCAAGTGTGTGGAAGCAAGAGAGAAGCTCTAAACGCGAGGAGATAGATTTTGTGAAAAGGGGATGCATTTTTATCTTCAACGAGTTAGATTCAGTTGTGTTTTCACGCCTGCATATCAAACACTATTTGAATTATAGCCTGGGAGCGCGGAACGTCTGATTCTGCGCACTTGAAGCCCCCCTTTTGACATTTTAGTCAAAATAGACTCACTAACATTCTAAATTAGAAGACCATATAATTGTTACTTACAAATCTGCGTTATTGATTACGGAACACCAGCTATCGTATCTAACTGATAAGCTAGATCAAGTGCGGTGTTGTTATCAGTTTATCTCCAAGATGCGCCTCTTCGGCTGGGACACATGGAGAGGGTCATTCCGGGGGCAGCCCTCGCCAAGTGACCTCGAGACCTGCTCTGACCTCGAAGAAGAGAACATGAACCTCACACCTGAGCGACAACAGATCCTCAACCAGGTAAGTTGTGTTGCCGGAAATCCTTTGTGTCTGAGAGTAACATTTATTTGGATGTGACGGGCGGGAGAGCACATAGATCCTGGTAGATTATGTGTTGCTCATGAATCGTATGGTTGACAGCGACCTGGAAATTACGGGTTTAGAACTTGGAATGTTATTAGCAGAACGGAGTACCGGTGAGAAAGAAAAGCAATTTAGTAAGGTGGAAATCTGACTGGGCTAAGGAATCTTGGGATGGTCGTCGTCTTAAGTGATTGATGGTTTTAAATGCTATCCAATTTGAAACTTTCCCATCTGAGTTATTTCGATTTTAATTAATGACGGGGTCTTTTATGGACTATAAAATACATTGTGTGTATAAAGGTCAGCCTGTAACAGCTGTCATGAATTTTGTCATGAATACCAGAAAATAAGCTTGACGTGTTTTATTGTGGGTTGGCATTATACTCCTACAATTTACGAGTTCGTTACTCAATATGAAGTCGATAGTCTGATGTATGACACAGTAACCGACAGTCATCTGTTCGTAGTGATGGGCTTGTGAAACCCCAAAGCGTATCACTGATAGGCCTGAATCTAATATGACGATAGTCCAAAGGATTATATATATTGTTCATGACTTTATAAACCCAATTGTAATAATTGTCTGTACAGTCACGCCGCCTTTGCAGTTGTACATTTTACCGTCTACTGTAAATACGAGACTGTGTGTCTTTTCAGTCCAACTTGCTTTGCAGCTTGTATTGATCGGACATTCAGGTTGCAACGTTATTTGTTTAAATTCCCATTTTTTCAAATGTAATTCTCAGGCCTAGCAACTCTTTCTGTTGAATATATATTCACAGAGGATTCTACCGATGAAACAGAGCATAATGTACACATATTCGTCCGCCACGTGACATAAGGGAGAAGAAAAAAGGGGGACACGATAAAGGGTAAGACATGTAAGAGGGAGTAAGAAAAAGAGGACACGATAAAGGGTTACTATAACAGGAGGAGAGGACGAAAGGTAGAGAGGAACGGAGTGGAGAAGATAAAAAAGGAGAAGGAGAGAGAGGAAGAGAGAGAGAGAGAAGAGGAGAAGAGAAGAGAGAAGAGAGATGGAGAGAGGAAGAACAGCAACTCGGCAGCACGGATGGTGGGCGCGGAGGGAGTCCCCTAAGAGCATTATGGCAGTTGAAGGCGGGCCAATGCAACGAGGCTGATCGGCTAAGTGTAGTGATGAATAGAGTCTGATGGAATTTACAGATGCGCGGGTTGCATTAACTGCACGCGAGGGGGTGAGGTTGCTTTTGAAGAAAAGGCGTTGTCTGCTTTTTGGTAGAATGAATTTGTTTACACTTTAGGAGAAACACAGCGGGAAGACCCAATCACAAAAGGGGCCCTTCGTGTTGTAATTTATTTTATATTTTTTCATTTAGCAAAAGAACAACATTTTGGGGTTGGGAAGAAAAAATGTTTTTTGATTTTTATATTTAATAATTATTACCTATCATACAAAACGGTCTTGCTAAAGTTTTTACAGAAGATCTTTGTTATAGCTCCAGAGAACAAAGTCATTATAAAAGCAGACCAACCCATGTTTACAAAAAGCACCCCAACCACTCGGGCATTAAAAAGCAACAGATGACAACATACGAAATATTCTACAAGGTAAATTATATACTTTTATGAGAATGTTCAGGCCTTGACACTTCCCCCGCGCACGCCTCACGTTTAAGACCTCTCGCCCTCTCCATCTCTGCCAACCTTCACACGTTACCTATATCCGGTCTATTTATTTCTGGGGTTCCCATTTTTTTGCTTCTCTATCTATCACCTGTGGCTGCCGACATATTATTTGGCTCTTAGACTCTCTCACGAATACATCCTCTCTCTCTTCCTCCCACTCTACTCTCCCTCTCCTCTTCTCTCTCTCTCTCTTCTCTCTCTCCTCTCTTCTCTTCTCTCTCTCTCTTCTCTTGCTTTCTCTCTCTCCTCGTCCCTTCTGTCCCCCATTCTTCCCTCTCCACCTCCCCTTCTCTCCCCTGCCCTCTCTCTCTCCTCTCTCCCTCTCTCTCCTCTCTCTCTCTCGCTTGTCTTTCTCTCTCTCTCTCTCTACTTCCTCTCTCTCCTGTTCCTCACCTCTCTCTCTCCTCCCTTCTAATCATCCCTCACCTCCCTCCCTCCCTCCTCTCTCTCTTCTCTCGTATCTCTCTCTTCTCAACTCTCCTCCTCTCTCTCCCTCCTCTCGATCTCCTCCAGCCGTTCTCTACCTCATTCCTCTCCCTCCATTTCCCCTCTCCTCCTCCTCTCCTCTCCTCTACTAACTCTCATCTTTTCTCTCCTCCTTCTACCCCTTCCTTTTTCTCTCTCGCTCTCCTCCCTCCCTCCCAATCCCTCATCCACCATTCCACTGCCTTTCCCCCTACCCCTCCCGTCCCCCTCCTCGGTCCTCCCTCTCCTTCCTTCCCTTTTCTCCCTCCCCTCTCTCTCTCCTCCCCTTCTCTCCCTCTCTCCCCCCTTTTTTTCCCTCTCTCTTCTCTCTCTCTCTCCTCTCTTCTCTCTCTCTCTCTCTCTCTCTCTCTCTCTCTCTCTCTCTCTCTCTCCTCTCTCTCTCTCTCTCTCTCTCTCTCTCTCTCTCTCTCTCTCCTCCTTCTTCCCTCTCCCTCCCCCTCCTCTCCCCCCCTCTCTCCCTCCCCCCTCTCCCTCCTCCCTCCCTCCTCCCTCCTCCCTCCCTTCTCTCTCTCCTCTCCTCTCTCTCTCCTCTCTCTCTCTCTCTCTCTCTCTCTCTCTCTCTCTCTCTTCTCTCTCTCTCTCATCTCTCTCTCTCTCTCTCTCTCCTCTCCCTCTCCTCTCCCTCTCTTCCCTCTCCTTTCCCTCCTCCCTCTTCCTCTCCTCTCTTCCCTCTCTCTCTCTCTCTCTCTCTCTCTCTCTCTCTCTCTCTCTCTCTCTCTCTCTCTCTCTCTCTCTCTCTCTCTCTCTCTCTCTCTTCTCCCTCTCCTCTCCTTCTCTCTCCCTTTCCCTCTCTCCCTCCCTCCCTCCCTCTCCCTCTCTCTCTCTCTCTTCTCTCTCTCTCTCTCCTCTCTCTCTCTCTCTCTCTCTCTCTCTCTCTCTCTCTCTCTCTCTCTCTCTCTCTCTCTCTCTCCCTCCTCCCTCCCCCTCCCCTCCCTCTCCTCCCCTCTCCTTCCCTCTTCTTCCCTCCTCTCCCTCTCCCTCTCTCTCTCTCTCCTCTCCCCCTCCCTCTCCCTCTCCCTCCTCTCTCTCTCTCTCTCTTCTCTCTCTCTCTCTCTCTCTCTCTCTCTCCTCTCTCCTCCTCTCTCCCTCTCTCCCTCTCCCTCTCTCTCTCTCTCTCTCTCTCTCTCTCTCTCTCTCTCTCTCTCTCTCTCTCTCTCTCTCTCTCTCTCTCTCTCTCCTCTTCTCTCTCTCCTCTCCCTCTCTCCTCTCTCTCTCTCTCTCTCTCTCTCTCTCTCTCTCTCTCTCTCTCTCTCTCTCTCTCTCCTCTCTCTCTCTCTCTCTCTCTCTTCTCTCTCTCTCTCTCCCTCTCTCTCTCCCTCCTCCCTCCCTCCTCCCTCCTCCTCCCTCCCTCCCTCCCTCTCCCTTCCTCTCTCTCTCTCTCTCTCTCTCTCTCTCTCTCTCTCTCTCTCTCTCTCTCTCTCCTCTCTCTCTCTCTCTCTCTCTCTCTCTCTCTCTCTCTCTCTCTCTCTCTCTCTCTCTCTCTCTCTAAAGACACCGGAAATGTTCTCCATTTACATTAGGTTATCTGACCTCTTGCTATTTAAACATTTTCATTATTCATTCATAACATCAATTATCTCTTCTGTTAAGCTTATCAGATAATAACTACTTAAATAATGGACGCAAATAAACTGTCCATTCATCTATTTGTCTTTTTGTCTATCTTTATGTATGTCTGTTTATCTGTTATCTATCGATTTATCTGTTTACCTATCTATCCATCTATCTATCCATCCATCCAACTATCTGTGTCTATCTCTATATCTATCTATCTATCTATCTATCTATCTATGAATCTATTTTCCGTCTCTGTATCAACCCCCTATCCATGCACCCATTTTCCTCATTATATAACTTGGTTTCTCACAGAGTGTGTCGTAGCTCCACCAAATTTCGTGCGTCACTCTTTCCCGTCGGCGCAACGTTATTCCGACCTAAAGACGGTCTCAGGAACGTTCAGTAGAATAATACTTGAATGTCATAGGGATCTTCAGGACAAACGTATGATTGAGACTAAAAGGTGATTCCAGAGCAGTGTTTAGTCTCGTGAACGCCAGGAGACAGGATATAGAGAAAGGTGATTTAGGTCTTTGTCCGTGTCTGGAAAGTCTTGTCTGGCGCGGCGTCGAACAACATTAATAATTTGTGAATATAACAAAGAGGAGGGGAGCAGGAAACCACACGGATTTGCCGTATGGTTTTGTCGTGTGTTTTCCACGAGTTGTTTTTCCCCTCGTTTTGTTTACTCTGTTTGGCAGGAATCTTTGATAATATTTGTAAGCTTTGTAAGTATGGTATTCATAGTTGACGAAGCTGATTCCTTCAGGTTGAAGTGTGTATAGTTATTCCATCCAAGGTGAAAATGAAGGCTACATATGCATTGTTTATGAGGGAATGTGTAGGCTTAGGTTCTGCGTATGTCACAAAAGTCATGTTGGGTCTACAGTCAGGCACACAGACTTGATCGATGGAAGAGAAATATTGGAAGCGGGATTTTGAAATTTGGAAATTAGAAATATGCTTCTCTCTCTCTCTCTCCCCCTCCCTCCCTCTCCCTCCCCCCCTTTCTCTCTCTCTCTATCTCTCTCTATCTCTCTATCTCTGCTACCCTTGTCTTGCCCTTTGACTCACTTTTGTCTTGTCCCTCCTTCCAACGTTCCAAGACTTGCAGTGGGCTAAATATCTATTAAAAATTGATTACCTATGATAATCCGTGATATAATCACTAAGTACATATGCAAGTTTCATTTCACTTGATGCATCTTCGGTATTTTCTCCAAACG